TGAAGTTTTATGTATCTCTTTTATCTCCTTTAGATAAAATTCGTTATTCTTCAAAAAACAGAGAATTTGTTTAATTTTAATACTTTGGCGAAAGAATTTTGCATTAAATGCTGGATGTTTTGTCTAGCCTTCACAGCCAACCAGTATTCTCATAATGCTTGCTGATATGACTGAATACCGCTGAAGGTACCAATTTTCAGTGGGAATTAATATTGGTCTGTACCAGATCGGCAATTCAATAGACATCAATCTATTCAGAATTAATGATTATATAAGTAATTATAATTAATAATTATATAAGTAATAACAATTACACATAATTATATAATAATATAATACGTAATATAACTAGGATGAAACATGTTAAATCAGTACAAAAATCTCTTTGGGATTTTAATTTTAAAGTTTTTTTTGCGTAAAACCAATCTATAAAAGAAAAAATGTTAAAATAATCAAAACTATATTGTTATTAATTTTTGTTAGACTTTGTTTTCAATAGTTAGCTGGTCGATTTTTTGATTTTTTCTTACTTTAAATAGAATTTATCTATTCTATTGTCGAATTTTTAGCGGTCATAATAAGTGATTTTGTTCTATAGGTTTGTCCATTTCTTGCGACAAATCTTTCTATTCAGGCACTTTTATGATAATTTGATATGATAATTACACTTTTATGATAATTTATTAATAAAAAATATATATTTTTCTCATTTTTCCTATATAATCTTACGCGATAACGTGAAAATTACGCAATTTATTAATAAATCAGACCGATAGCTTTAATAAATTAATTTAATTTCATTTTAATTTTTAGCGTTTATAGCATTTTACATTTTTTAAGAATCGTAAAAAAAAAACAAATCTTTATGTATTCTTTTATTAATTGACAGTTTCATTCGTTTAAATTATATCTCTCATTTTTGGAAATCTCTTCAAATCAGGTTGTCCTTCTATGATAAATTTAAAGGATAAGAATGAAACTTCTTTTAAAACTTCTTTTAAACTTTTTATTTTACATTTACAACGATTGGAATGAGATTGGAATTTAGCCATAAATGATGGATATAAATGATGGACACTATGAGTGCTTTTTTTAGGCAAAGCATAACGATTCGTCCAAATGACATAAAAAATCGCTAGGCATTTTGCATTTAATGTATAAAAAAGTCGCACTAAGTACCAGAGTTGAAGTTCTTTAGCTGGAAAGCTACTTAGAGGCTGAATCAGTATCAGATCCCTAGTCCACAAGAATTTCGCTATTTGTGTTCTTTACATGAACCACACCAATGGTGTTTGATGTAATCTCTCTAAATAATTAATCGATCATCGTGCCTTCTATTATTTTTAAATTTTTAAATCGTCTAGCAGAGGCAATAAAAATATTTCATATTACTATAAAAGAAATTATAAGTTAAATTACAAAGCAGTTAAATTACAATTTTTTCAGTAAAGGAATAAAAGAAAAATTATTTTCACTCAAATCAAATGGAAATTTACTATATTTTTCAAAGAATAATCTCAGGCAAATTGCTTTTAATAGAATTAATAGAATTTTAATAGAATTAAGAAAAATTTATTTCTTTTTTTATTTAATTTATTTAATATTTATTTATTAAATTTACTTATTTAGAGCATTTTGAAAAACAATTCTGTTATTAGCATTTTTTCAAAAAGTATTCATATGCAAAAAATGCATTTATTCTACTCATTCATTTGAGCTACATATATATAAAATTTCTGTATTCGAGAAATTTTCATGCGATTTTTCCTTGCAGAAATGGCACACTCACTGACCTGATTAGTACCACTGTTTGTACGATATGAAATTTTCGTAAATAAACATATTTATTGCATCAAAATATATTTATACAAAGAAGGAGAAAAATTTAGGAATTTGGTGAAATGAAAGGCAAATATAATTTAATTTAATTAATAAATTTAATAAATAAACTATAATATATATTTCTATTTCTTTCTAAATTTTTATTTTAATCAATAATAATTGCTTCAATTTTATGTTTATTATTATTTTTCTATTCAGCAAGGAACCGTTTTTTTTTCACGATTTTTTCCAAAATTTCCAAGATTTCGGATTATTTTAAAAGGTTATTTTAAAAACGATTTTCAAATATTCTTCAAAAATTCTATAATTTTTTTTCGATTTTAAATAAGTTATTATTGCGTTCTTTATTTATTATTATTTTACTATCTTATTAAATTTTATTTCTTTATTTCGTATTTATCCATTTTAAGGCAATACTTTGCCGTGTTTAGTGGCCCTTTCACAACTTAGTATTCAATAATTTCTTAGTTGCATCCTTTGTTACGTGAATCTCCGTCAGTTTCATCGTTTAAAATAAGCTTTTGGATTATATTAATGAAAGTTTTAAAAAGTTTTAAGCAGCGATTTGAACATATACTATTTAATATAAAATATAATATATTTCTTTATTTCTTTCTAAACGTTTATTTTAATCAATAATATTGAATATTATCGATAAATTAATATAATATAAATGAATATTTGCCGCTTTTAATCATTGTTTCACCTTTAGTTATTATTATTAGTTATTAGCACTGGCAGAAAAAAAATACGCAAATACGAAAAAGCTCATTTATCATAAATTTCAGGAAAAGCATTGCGGTAGTAATTATCATGGATTTTATATCACCACAAGCGCTTTGTTCATAAAAGATAAAATTTTATTTTGTATTAAACTTTATTTTACGATTGTATAATCGAATTTTTCTGCTATCCTCAAGAAAGATATTTTGGCCTTAAAACAGGCATTATTGGCTTCTTAAGAGAGTTTTTGTTATCAAATGTCAACTAATAAAACTATATATTCAGTTGTTCATGCCCTTCACGACTCTTCACGTAAAGATTAGCCAAAAATGCTTGTGATGAAATGTGCTGTTGTTCAGCTGGTGCCTGATTTTTGTTTTATTCCTTGCTTATGAACAACTGAATATATTCTGTTATTTTTTTGATAAAACTGTAAACATTGGGGAGACATTATGAACATTTTTTAAACAAACAAAAAATGATTTTAGAGTCCATTTTAATAAATTATCAAAATTTTACGTGTGAAAATAAATTTACGAGGAAAAATATTGCCTTTCTAAATTGGCGACTTGTTGAGCTTTTCAATAAATATTTTATTTCCCCTAATGTTCAGATACACGATATATCAACATACACGATTACTGGCTTACTGATTACTGATTTCGCCTATCGATTAGGCTAAAACGCTTGCGAAAAGATCTGATATCATGGTTGGAACCAAGTGAAGCCTTACTTTTCTCCTCGGAAGCCCACGTATTCCTTCTCGATTTATGAGTTTCCTGTTCACCGGATTGCTCTCACCCCGGCAATAAAGGCAACCGCCAACACAAACGCAAACAAGATCACACCGACAAACGTAGACATAAACGCAACTGTATTAATTTCATGAATTTCATGAATGAATATTTAAATTCATGAAAAAAATTTCATGAATGAATGAATTAAATAATTTCATGAATTCATTGAATGTTTATGACATAGTGCATCTGCAGCCCACCGAACTTTGATGCTTAAAACAACTATAGGAAGTATAAGAAATCATTATGCGAATGAACCACTGAAAATAAAGTTAATAAAGTGCAAATGATCTTTAAACCTTGAAATGCAAATGATTTTCCGAAGTTTATCACTTTATCACTAGCGATAAGCAAATACGATGATGGTTATGATAAGGAGTTTTAATAAAGCATTGTTAATAACCTATTTTTTCTAATATTTAACAAGAAACCCATTATGAGAAAGAAATTTTTTTTGTTAAAAGACAAATTATTATCTAAAAAAAACTAAAAAAATCGGGATAATTTGCTTTGGAATAGCGAAATTCTCAATTTGTGTTAGGAATATTTAATTCAAATCTTTTGAATAAAAAGATGCTTGTAGTGAACAAAATAAAATAATTCAGATAATCTTCCCTTTAAAAATTTTTTCCGGATTCGCATTATTCATTATTATCGGAGAAGATTCCCTACAGTGCATCCAAGAAATAAGAAACTAAAGTCGATTGAACTGAATTGAAAATCCAATGCTTGGCGTTACTCGATCAAATTCTCTGTTCCAAGTATGTCAGTTTACATGAAATTAAGTCATTTGGTTTTTAGATTGCCTTTCTCCATTTGTTTTTCTAAAATGATTATTAAATATTGAATTGCTGAATTGAATGTACCTATTAAAATATATTTCATCAACCATAAAGAATCCAAATTTCATTCAGTCAGCCACTTATCTTGTTTTTCTAGTAGTTTGTAACCGCTGGTATGGATGATTCCACTGGCGATTAGAACTTAGAACTTTTCTAAGCTTGAATCGAAGCTATGCCTATATATTAATAAGTGGTAAGTGCATTCAAGGCATTCTAATCGTATTAGTTCTAGTTTACGACGCTCTTAGTCATCTACTTAGCAAATAGCGAGATTTGCTTAATTATTCGAAATGGATGTCGAGGAAAATTATAGCCTTACCGAACAACTTTTTTATGAGCATAGAATATAAAGACTTGAGCTCCATATTCTTGCTCGATTCAGAAGAATGTACGGTGGAATCTGATCAAAAATAAAAAAAAAGGCTTGAAAAATTAAAAGTTGCGGGAATATCATGAATTGGTAATACGATTATTATAAAATAAAATTAATACAATAATATTAAATTTAGCTATAAAGAGGAATTACAGCGAAACGAAAAATTAAAATGTTAGAAACGTTTTTTTAAACGAATAGTTAAAGACCCAATAGAACTGAAAAAAATTGAAAAAAGTAGAATAAATCTTCGAAAAAAAAGAATCAAAATATGATCGTGAAGTTGAAAAAACGAATTGCTAATGAAAATTTTTCAAACAGGTGAGTAAATATGAGAAGTATTTGACCCGCGGGTGGCGAGTTATTGTGCTTTAAAACTATAAAAAGAGGATCATTGTTAAAAAAAATGGAATAGGATATTTTATGATGATTCTTACTCTGACCCTTCTACTTCTGAATTTTTTGAATGAGACAAATGCTGGGACGGTAGCAATCACCGAATGTCATAATGGAGGTTCGACGATGGACATGGTGCCCCAGGGTCAAATACCGAGGCGCCCTGTTCCCAGTGCAACGGCATGCCGTGATAGCGATCAAAATTTATGTAACGCTTTATTCCCTCTTAATAATGACCATGCCAATAATGCAGATCCGTAAGCAATTTCTTTTTTGTGATATTTTAGTGAACCCTCTCTAAATGACATCCGATTTAAATTTTCTTGTTCCATTTCTACTAATTTTACTCGTTCAATACTGCTAAACATAGATAAAATATGGCCGAAATATGGCCAATTAATAATGTGACGCTTAACAAATATTTTGAAAAACGTTTTTCATATAAAAAATTATAAGGTTTCTTTTCTTGAACTCCCTTTACAAACATACGTTGAAGGTGCATTCATTTGCAGGACCAAACCTTATAAAGTGCACGAGGACTGTTATAAAGCCACACATTCGTCCATTGCTACCAGATTTTGCGCATCAACTTGTGCTTTATGTTGCAAAACACCTCAGTTCAGCGGCTGTCCCGATAGTAAGTCGTTCTTTTCAAGTTTTTTCCAAAAGATGCAGAAGGTGCAGAATCTTAGGTGTGATTTATCATAAACTTTTCAGCTGTAAGCAATTGCACATTATTTGCGGAAAATCCAGCTCTTTGTAGCAGTCCACAACTCTCCGCTTTTGCACTTGAAAGATGTGCAAAAACTTGTGGCTTATGCGATAAACCTGGCTCGGCTGGTGGTTGCCCGGACACTAATGAAAATTGTAATCTCCTAAGAAATTTGCATTCCTGCAATGATACATTTATGCAGCAAAATTGCCAAAGAACTTGTGGTTTAAAAAATTGCTTAGGTAAAATTTTTCTTTAAAGTAAATCTATATGAAACTCTATATTTTGCGAAATATTATTTTGTGATATTTTTAGGAACGACTACTGTCGCCTCGTCAAACTGCAGGGATGAAAGGGTCGATTGCGCTCGTCATCTACAATTCTGCCGTATACATCCATTATCATCGTATTATAGTGTTTATTGCCGCAAAACATGCAGTTACTGCTAAAATCCCTGATTGTTCTCTCTTGACCAGAGAAAGACGAAGAGAGAAATCCCGTGTTCGGTTCATGCAACAATAATATTTGAAAATTTTTTTTCTACTTTGTCTATCGTATTTCATTTCATATTTCTAGAAGATTGGCAAAGATTGCAATGGAAATATTTTTAAAACTTTTTTCTATTGTGCTTATGTATTTTATTTATTTTTCTATTTCTTAAAATAATAGAAAATTTTATTTATTTTTTGCATACGATTAAAATCTAATAAAATCAATCAACATGAAGTCTGCGTTGAAATGGATATTTTGTCTAAGAGCGCTCGCTATTTCTGGTTAAACTCGCTTCTCGAGATTTGCCATTGTTTTGCGAAACCTGCAAAGAATTGCAATATAAGTAAAGAAACAAAAGTAAAGTAAACAAAAAAAGTAGATCATTCGCTATTCATGACGATACGTCTATGATTTTTTTTCGGATTTTCTGGCTGTATTTCGTTTGGTTTTTCGCTGAAGCGCTAATTATGCCTCATAATGAAGGTAGAATTTATTGTATGCTAAACATCAGCAAGGAGCAACTCTTGCTTTCTATGTTTCAAAGCTCTTTCGAAACCTTTGCCAATATTCAATACTTTTTTGGTCAAATTCTCATAATATGGTTTATAGCATACAATAAAAAAAGTTATAATAAAATATAACAAAAAAATACAATAAATATTATTATAATAATATTATAATAATCAGGTTTCACCTATGTAATAGAGAAGTTTTTCCAGTTTTAACTATAGTTACATTCGTATCAAGTAAATTCGCAAATGTGGAACTCACAAATCATAAGAAAAGGAAGAGCAATGAGATGGCAATTATGATAGATCCTGTATTTCTATCGCCAAGGGACTCCCTGCCATATTGCCCAATGCGACAAGACAGTGGACTGGGTTTAACCAGCAATGTTGAGGACTCTTAAATAAAAAATGAAAAACGACTAAAATCTAATAAAATCAACACAAATAGAGCATTCATTGAAATGAATATTTTTCTAAAAGCCTTCACTATTTTTGGTTAGACAGTTTTCTCAGTTCACATATATTTTGCCAGATCCTCAAAGAAATGCAAAAGATATAAGGAATTGGCGTAATAAAAATGAAGATTGTTCAATCGTTGTTAATGATAAAACGTCATTTTTTCCCATTTTTTGGTTATCCCCTAGCATTATATTGGTTTTCTTTTTTTGAAGCGGTGCCTCAACATATACCATTTCAACAGTTCATAGGAAGTTTCTATCATTTTATTTCTCAGATCATCCTTATCAACAACTTTTTCCTTTAATAAGAATTGCAATCAGATTCCACTTTAACTAAAAACAGTCTTAGTTGTTTTTATTTGTGCATAACGAATCCTCTAAAAATTTATTTTTCCAGTTGCATTTTGTATTTCATGGCTCTCTTGAAATTTTATCCCAAATTTAAAAAAAAAAATTTAGCCGACCGATCTTTTGAATTAAATTTGTATTAAATCATTCTCACTCTTAATTAAACATTTAATTTTTTTTCGCTGTTCACATAGCTCGCATTATTGCTGACATGGCTGGTTTCATTTATCCACCCGGCATTTGCAATCATATCGTTATCATGCATGAAATTAACTGTAGCCACACCTTCTTGGACTATACATTGTCTTACTGCCTATGCATTTTCTACCATATATCCGAAAGATCTGTAGGAGCGCTAAGTCTCATTAAAATAATTCTTCTTGCGTGGAACTGGTATGGTGATATACTGCCGTCTATTTCTTTTTCTGTACTCGATGACTTACTCGATGATCAATATTTTTTTTTCATGAGTCCTCACCATTACTGGTTAAACTCGCTCCACTGGTAGAAATTGGGTAATGTGCCAGGGAGTCCCTTGGCGATAGAAATATATGCGTTGAGATGAGTAATACGATACTTTCTTTTTTAAAAAATTTTAGGACTTGATTTTGAGCGGTATATTTTATTCATTTTTTATATTTTTTTTCCATAAAGCATCTATCAATTGAAAATTAATGGTGATAACTTTTGTAATTTCCTTTTCTACCTGATTTTACTAATCCATTCTTAAAATTTTTTGTTATTAGTCCTCCAGCACTATTCGTTTTTTTTTCACAATTAGACCTAAACACATATGATTTAAAATTTCCATTAAAAGTTTAATATTTGCTAGAAGTTTTTTTTCACTTATTTTTTTTCGGATCCCTTTTATTTACAAATTTGAAAGCGGGTGGTGCTGGCGATTCACGTTATTCCTTGCTTCTTTCCTTAATTCTTGTGCAAAATATTTGTGGCCTGCAAGGCAATCTAACCAGAAATTGTGAGGCTATACTGATTTTATTAAATTTTACTCGTAGGCGAAATAGAATAAAATAGTTAAAATTCTCTCGGCTTCAGAATAGAATAGAAAGGCCAAAAGGAATATGATAACCAGAGCAGAAAAAAATTTAAAGATATTTTAATTGCAAATGAATCAAATAAAAAGCCATTTTATTTTGTTTTCCATGGTCAAGATGGACCAGTCAAAAATTTCAGCAGAATTTGCATGTTTTACGACAATAAAGACTGTAATACGATGAGAATGGTTGCACATGGCAGAATTGTAGATGACGAGCGCAATCGACCCTTTCATCTCTACAGTTCGACGAGGCGACAGTAGTCGTTCCTAAAATTGTCACCAGAATAACATTTCATAAAATAAATGTAAGGACGAGTTTTACAATTATTGTAAATAAGTGTTTTACCTAGGCAATTTCTTAAACCACAAGTTCTTTGACAATTTTGCTGCATAAAAATATCATTGCAAGGACGCAAATATCTTAAGAGACTACAATTTTCATTAGTGTCAGGGCAACCACCAGCCGAGCCAGGTTTATCGCATAAGCCACAAGTTTTCGCACATCTTTCAAGTGCGAAGGCCGCGAGTTGTTGATTGGTGCAAAGTGCCAGATTTTCTGCGAAGATTGTACAGTTGCTTGCAGCTATAAGCATATTGTAGAAAACAATAAAATAAAAACTGGTATCTTTATTCGAAAAAAATATAAGAACGGCTTACTATCGAGGCACCCACTGAATTGAGGTGTTTTACAACATAAAGCGCAAGTTGATGCACAAAATTTAGTAGCAATTGATGAATGTGTGGGAGCGAAACAATCCTTGTGAACCTTGTAAGCTTTCCTCCTGTAATGTATATGCACGCCTCGACCAAAAAAAATTTAAAAAAAGGAAATTAATTTTTAATCTTTCAATTTTTTTATATGCCTTTTAACAACATTTAATAAAGGCCTACTTATACCTTGTTTCATTTTTTCTAGTTATGGTTACTGCGGTAAAATTAGTAGAAATGGAGCAAAAATTTAAATAAATCGTCATTGAGAGGCAAATTGCTAAGATACTATAATTTACAGAAATCACTTACAGATTCGCATTGTCTGCAAGAGCATCATTAATTGGGAACAAGGCATTGCATAAGCCATTTTGACCATTATCACGGCAAGCTAACACACTAGGAAGAGGGCGCCTGGGTATTTGATCCATGGGTACATTTTGCTCTGTCGAACCTCCATTGTGACATTCCGTGATTACTACGGTATCATCGCCATTTGTTTCGTCCAAATATTTCAAAAGTATAAGGAACAACGCAAGAATCATCGCAGTAAATATGCTTTATCCTACGTTATCAGCAATAATCTTGCTTTTATATCCACTGATTATGATAATATCGCCTTCCACGTTTCCTTCTCACTTCTCACTTGTTTTTTCACCTGTTTCATATCACGAGTCGTTCTTGCTTTTATTGTCAAAATTACATTTTAATTTTTTCTTCTCTACATAAATTTTTCATTTTTTTTCCGGAACCATTTTTATGGCACAAGAATAGAACGCTTCTCAACGATATTCTCTCGAGGAATTGTCTTCCTAGTACATTATTAATACAATATTATTTCAAATTTGAATTATTTTCTATTGCTGAGAAATAGATTGTTTTAAGAATCTGTGAAGGGCAAAGGTGACGTTATATTCCTACTATTTATAACCATTTCTTTCCAGTTATTTTAAATATTACCCTAATGCTAAATATTACTCTTTATTAAAAGTGTGCACTTTAATTCGTTTTTGGTGGTTTTAGATAACTAAGAAAGCCGATTCTCAAACATTATTAGCAGTTTCTATCGCAGAACTGGACTGATAGGATTAGAAGACGCCTTCAGAGCAAAGAAGGCCGCAGAAAGACATGTACCTATGGTTTTGGCTCGTGAAGCTTGAAAAACCGTTAACGCCTGTGGAACCAGATAAACCAGCAGTATTGCGAACTGTTAAAAAAATCTCGTTAGAGTTAAATTTCATGGCTTTTATTGTCGATAGATAATTGATAGGTAATTGATTTCTCTTCAAAATTAAATCTTGAAGCATAATTTTATTTTTCTCATAATCATCACAGAAACCCATAGAAGTAAGTAACAATACATAACAATATGTAAGTATATCTTGCAATTAGTATGCAAATCTTGCAAAAAAGTGGAATTTCCATATTTTCATGGACACATGGAAGGTAGCTTTTTTTTCGTTGATAATTGTTTTATTGTAAAAACAAATGGAAGAAGAAATTCTAAAAAATCGCAAATGGCATCACTTGATATAAAGTGATTTGCCTAAAACACGACAGAATGTTCCACTGCTTTATAGTTTGAACTTTCAACTTGGTCAGTCCAACCATTGCTATTGGATTTCCTGTTGTTGGATAATTCGTTTTAAAAAACATTTTATTCATAGGAATTAACTAATTTAACGGCAGAATCCGAGAATTTCATTTTGCCAATTAAAATTCTTTCGTTTTTTTCAATTTTTTAAATTTTACTAGTAGTCTGAACAAAAAAAAACTTCTCATAAAAATTTCTTCTTTGAACATTAAAAAAAAATGAGTGATTGTTATCAACATGACATTATTTGCTTATCATATCATAGTACGTTTGCTTGCCAATGAGGAAAATCATTTAAAGTTTAATGTTTAATGCAGAACTGCACTTTTCTCAATGACGATAGTGTTTTCCTGCGGTTGATTGTTTTTACGCAAAAAAATCCGATTGTCAGCTGAAGCACCAACATTGTAAATATTTACAGAACAAGCATAGAAGCTATTATTTTATATTTTCATAACATATTCTAGTGATTTTCTCCTCTAATTTGATATGCTGCCCACTCCCACTTTGCAGAGTCGTACAGCTATGAAGTTAGAAAGCTAGGCCAAAATCTTCCTGATTACATTATATATTATTTTACAAGCATTAATATTACAAATATTAATTCATCATGGTAGAATATTTACGAACTTTTTTTTAAGTAGCTTTTATCGTTAGTGGTTAAACTCTCTCCGCTGGCTTGCAGCATTGGACAAATGTGCTTGCCAGAGAGTCCCTTGGCGATAGAAATACTGGTTGCCAGCATCACCCGGGAATACTTGCAGATATATAAATTTGAATAACCATATAACCATATAAATTTTTATTAAGTCAAAAAATTATTTTACCCACTATCATTTATTACATGAACGCCATTATTTCTATGTGAAAATTGGAGCAATTTCAACCAATAAGTGAGTCGAAGCACCAATACTAATACTAATATTAGTATTCTGTTGTTCTCCGGTAATTAGAAAGCTTCTTCTTCCAACAGCTTACGTCGTTAATGGCTCCAACGGTGTAAGACGCTTCCAAGCGACGCGGTCTAATGCCATCGTCGACAATAATAGAAGCCATTCATTTAGAAGACAGCTTCTACAGAAAAAAATTCTGTTTAAATTCAGCTAAATTCTATGAAATCGTATAAACAATAATGCTTAGCATATGTCCTTAAAATTTTTCAGAAGTGGTCCTAATAGGACTATCAATCAATCCTTCAATCCTTCCCATCAATCCTTCTTCCTTCCCGGTTTTAATGCCGTTCAATGCTTAATAAGTGGCATAATTTAATATTAAACAATAAAAAATAAAAAACTCGCCAAGAATTCCTTATTCGATAGATGCATTACATTTAAATTTGTTTCAAAAATCAAGTTAAAATGCCAAATAAATAAAATTTTTTAAGACTATCTAATCATATAATAAAAATATCAGATAAATCACCATGAAAAAGCCTCCTTCTAATCTTCGTTTAACGATTGTTTGTTAAACGGTTTTTATTTTCTGAAGCAGCAAATATGCTTCAACACACATTTTAACGCAAATTTTATTCATGCTGATTAGGAAGATGAAATAGGAAAATCCAACGAAATATCGGAAAGCCGTATAGAAAAAGTTATAAATAATAGAAAATCATTTTCGTTAAAACCGTATACATTATTTTTCTTTTCTTTTCTGTGGCCAAGGGAGATTTCAGCAGTAATTACATGTTTTACGGCAATAAATGTTATAATACGATGAAAATGGATGCACATGGCAGAATTGTTGGTGACGGGCGCAATCGACCCTTTCATCTCTGCAGTTCGACGAGGCGACAGTAGTCGTTCCTAAAAATGTCACCAGAATAACATTTCGCAAAATATAAAGAGTTCCATAATTACTATAAAGAAAAGGTTTACCTAAACAATTTTTCAAACCGCAAGTTCTTTGGCAATTTTGCTGCATAAATGTATCATTGCAAGAACTAAAAGTTCTTAGGAGATTACAGTTTTCATTAGTGTCCGGGCAACCACCGGCCGAGCCAGGTTTATCGCATAAACCACAAGTTTTTGCACATCTTTCAAGTGCAAAAGCGGAGAGTTGTGGACTACTACAAAGAGCTGGATTTTCCGCAAATAGTGTGCAATTGCTTGCAGCTGAAAAGTTTATGATAAATCGCACCCAAGAATTTCTATCTTCATTTGAAAAAAACTTGAAAAGAAGCTTCTGGCTTACTATCGGGACAACTGCTGAACTGAAGAGTTTTGCAACATAAGGCACAAGTTGATGCACAAAACCTGGTAGCAATGGACGAATGTGTGGCTTTATAGCAGTCCTGGTGGGCCTTATAAGGTTTCTTCCTGAAAATATATGCACCTCCAACATAATTTAGTCGAAAGGAGTTAAAGAAAAGAAACCTTATAATTTTTTATATGAAAAAGGTTTTTCAAAATATTTGTTAAGGTTTTTCAAAATATTTGTTAAGCGTCATTATTAATTGGCCATATTTCGGCCATATTTTATCTATGTAAGCAGCATTGAGCGAGTAAAATTAATAGAAATGGAACAAGAAAATTTAAATCGGATGTCATTTAGAGAGGGTTCACTAAAATATCACAAAACAGAAATTGCTTACGGATCTGCATTATTGGCATGGTCATTATTAAGAGGGAATAAAGCGTTACATAAATTTTGATCGCTATCACGGCATGCCGTTGCACTGGGAACAGGGCGCCTCGGTATTTGACCCGGGGGCACCTGATCCATCGTTGAACCTCCATTATGACATTCTCGAATTACTTCTGTCATGGCATTTGCTTCATACAAAAATTTCAAAATTAAAAGGATCAGAGCCAGAATCATCGTCGCAAATTTGCCTTATTCTCCTTTCTTCAACAATAATCCTCTTTTTATAATCTTTGTACAATAATATCGCTTCCCACGTTTTATTCGCACTTCTCATTTTTCGTTTATTCACCTGTTTGAAAGATATTACGAATCATTCTTGTCTTTATCGCCATAATTATATTTTGATTTAGAGGAAAAGAACAATTTTAGCAGACTGCATTTCCTCCACGATTTGTCTTCATAGCTCATAGATCATACTATTTCGTATTTTCAATATATTAAACCAATAAAGATTAGCGGAAAATAGATTTTAAAAAATTTGCGGCAAATTTAATATGTTAAACATTTATTACAAATGGATTAAATAGAGGAATTCGACTATTTCTTTAACCAAAAGCGAAGGTGATCTTAGATGACGTTTTTTATCAATCATTTATCAATAAAAAACGTTGTCTTTAAGTATTTGGGAAAATGATTTGCTATGACAAAAATAAAACCAATAGCCCAAATGCATTCATTTTTGTAACTTATAAATTTTTTTAAGAACCGTCAAATCAGATCTTTCTTTGCTTTTACTTATCCTCGCTATTTTCGCAATTTTAAACTATATTTCTATTTTCTATATTCTCGTTATCTCTTTCTCATTAAATGAAATAATCTTTATTTGATTAATAAAAAAACCAAAAAAATTATTAATTGAATTTTTTAAAATTTATTTTTTAAATAAAAATTTATTTTTTCTATCCGCTTCAATAGCTTGATAATTGCTCAATATTATATATATTCTATATTATATAATTTAATAATATTTAATAATTAGCCATCTATGTGATATGAAAGTCTTATCAACGACACTCTGTCCACGATTTACATGTTTTAGAAAGTCTTTTCATAGAAGAAGGCGAAAAACATAAGTGTAATCTAAAACATATACCAGAGAAAAAAAATTTATCAACACTGTTATTAACACTGCATCTTTTATCAAATCATATCATCATAATATCATAAATCCTAATTCATATTTGTCTATACAAAATCATACAAAACATACAAAATCGGGAAAACCAGAATCCAGAATCATAAGTTCATTGTTTAGAGAATAATTTTGCTTTATTTTTCGATGTTTCGCCAATAATAATGATTTTTCCACGGATAATTGGCCTAAAAGCCCGCCTGATCCCAAAAGCACCGCATACTCGTAGTGAAGGCACTGTAGAAGAATTATTTCATTACATTCTCCAATATGAGCTGCTGATTTTCTTCTCTCTCTCTTGATCATAAATAAATCTTTCGTTGGGTGAATTGTAACAAATAAGGAGATTCGAAACTTATTTTGGAATTTAGAAGGATAATAAATGCGAACCTCAATTCGCTTATTATAATGGATTACAATGATCAATGATCATTTCAAAAGATCATTTCAATTTTATTAAATTTTGAATTTTCAATTGAATTGAACATTTTTTCATAAAATTTATTTTTTTTATTCAATTTTTTCAGATTTTACTTTGCTTTAATCAAAAATGTTTTCAGAAATATTAATTTTTTCATTTTATAATTTTTTATAAAAGCAGAAAAAAATTGTGATATTTTGCTAATTGCATTTCATTACTCTCTTATCATATTTCGTTATATTTACTACTTTTCACCTAATACATTTGCTTTTCAATATCAGATTATTGTGCATCAAACTTGTGTTCGTTTTATGCTGGAATACACCTTAATTCAGTGGGTGCCTTGAAAGTCGTTCTTAGTCGTTCTCATAAAATTTTTATCACTGGTGGTTGCCTAGATTCTAATGAAAATTGTAATCACCTAGAAATTTTCCGTCGCTGCAAGGATATATTTATGCACCTAAATTGCCAAAGAATTTGCGATTTAAGAAATTGTCTTAATAGGTAAAATTTTTTTAAATAGCAAAATTCTTCTCATTTTGTGCGACAATTATTTGATTTGGTTTTAGGAACGACTACTGTGGTCGCATCGAATTCCAGAGAATTGACTATGCTCGATATCGACAATTCTGTTATATACACCTATTCTCATCGTATTATAAATATTTATTGTTCATAGAACGTGCAATTTCTGCTGAAATCGGCTTTCGCGAGAGAAGAGAAATGAGAACATTCGGCTCTTCTTAAAACTTTTTTCTATTTTCCTTATTGCACTTCACTTTATTTTCCTTTTTATTTAAGTTAGAAAAGCTTCGTTCGTTTTCCGATTTCAATAAATATTTCCTAATCTGTTCCTTACCATATAATAACTAGTAGAAAATTGAAAGATTCAAAATATGATTGGCGATGAAATCAAAGATGGCCTATAATGAGTTTATCAAACAGGTGAATAAACGGAAAATGAGAAGTATGAAGTGAAGTGATTGGAGGCAATGTAACTAAATTCAAAGGATTTAAAAAGAGGACTAATGCAGAAGGAAATAGAATAGTTGCGATGATTCTTGCTCTGATCCTTTTAATTTTACGATTTTAAACGAAACAAATGCTAATACTGTAGTTATCACAGAATGCCATAATGGGAGTTTGGATGATTAGATTCCTATGTCTATACAGGGTCAAATTCCAAGGCGGCCTGTTCCCAGCATATCAGCTTGTCGTGATAACGATCAAAGTGGCATATGTAACGTTTTGTTTCCTAATGCAGACATTGCCAATAACCTAAATCTGTATATATTTACCATAAGTTTTCTACTTTACTATATTTATAATTTTCCACTTTACTTGACTTTACTTTACTATTTCGATGAAATGTGGCCAAATTAAAGCAATGTTTTGGTCATTCTGAGTGGATATTGCGAAAAAAAATGACTTATTTAAAAATATATTAGATTATTTTCTTTCTTTAGCTCTAATTTCTTGTATTACAGGGCAATGCAATGTTCACTAAAATTTTTTCGCTGCCACACATTCGTCCATTTCCAGGTTTTGTGCATCAATTTGCGCTTTATGTTGCAAAACACCTCAGTTCAGCAGTTGTCCCGATAGTAAGTCGTTCTTATCAAGTTTTTTTCGAATGAAGATGCAAATTCTTGGACGTGGACGCTATTTACAATAAACTTTTCGGGTTGTAAGCAATTGCACACTATTTGCGGATAGTCCAGCGCCTTGCACCAGTCAACATCTTTCCGCAAATTTGCATTTAAAAAAAATTTGCATTTAAAAAATGTGCAAAAACTTATGCGATAAACCTGGCTCGGCTGGTGGTTGCCCGGACACTAATGAAAATTGTAATCTCGTAAGAAATTTGCGTCCCTGCAATAATATATTTATGCAGCAATATTGTCAAAGAACTTGCGGTTTAAAAACTTGTCTCGGTAAAATTTTTTTTAGTAAATGTAAAGCTCATTGTATCCGTGAAACTTTATTTGGCAAGCATTTTTAGGAACAACTGTGGCTGCATCGAGCTGCAAGGATGAAAGAGTCCACTGCGCTCACCATTTAAAGTTCTGCCGTGTGCATCCATTCTCATCGTATTATAGTGTTTATTGCCGTAAAACATGCAATTTCTGCTGAAATCCCTATTTTCTCAGAGAAAGCCAAAGAAAATGATCTTTTTCTTTGATTTCTTGCAGTAAAAATTTTTTTGAACACATTTTTCTGTTTTGTTTTTCGTATTTTATTTGATCTCTACGTTCTTTAAAGTAGAGAATATTTTTTTTTCGTCAAAATCTAATAAAATTACTAAAATCCAATAAAATTAACATGAATGGAGATTACCTTGAAAGGTGTTTTCATAAAAAATTTTTCTGGCAAAAACGGTCTTCTCAACACACTTTTTTTCCAGTAAGTCAAATTGCAACAAAGAATAGTGATGAATCGCTGGTACAACTAGGAATATGTCGATGAAAGAGATGCGAAAAAAATTATCGGAAAAAATTTCTCTTGTTTAACCAAGAAACTTAAGTTTAAAAAATGATGAAATCGTATGTTTTTAAATAAAATCATTTCAGCAAAAAAACCACATAATCCTGGAGGGCAACAATAAAATTTAGAAAAATGATACAAGGGATAATAAAATTGAAAAACTTTTCATCACTAATTTTCAACTGGTAGTTAATTGCTTAATTGCTTTATGAAAACAAAAAAAAATACTGAAAAATTGACGGAAAAAATGCGCAATATAAATGTGCTTTGCTTTAGTACTAATCAAGATCCTTGCCTCAGGCACAAGTAAGCATAACAATAAAAACCCAAGATTGTGCTAGAAATTTGCGTATGAACCAATTTTTTATCCTCGGCCTCGTAGAAATTCATTCAACAGAGATTTCAGAACCATCAGAACCAGAACGATAAATTATATTTTTTGCGTAAAGTATGACGACTCTTACGGACGATATTAATAAAACCGCCGGGTAGCATGAAGAAAATGTTTAAACAACTGGTACCAAGCGCTAGATTTAAAATCTTCTAGCCAGTGAATCGCTTGGAGATCTTAAAAAATGAGTCCTTAGTACCAGAAGAATCTCCTTTTCCTTTGCAGGAAGCATATACATATCCACAGGGTCTAATTTTTGCCCGAAGCCATTATTCGACCATTTTGACCTCTATCATATTTTATATTTCGTATTATAAAATTACATAATTAAGGTTTAAAATCATCTAATCAATGTAATATATTAAAAATTGTTATAGAATTAGATAAGAATGAAATTTCCAATCTATTTTTGAATTAAGCAATTTTAAATAAATTATATTGTACTTACTTATTAAACATTTAATTTCGCCTTCCTTGCATCATTGCTGGCTTCATAGACTTCACCTATGCACTATGGTGAAGCTTACGATTCTTCAGTCATACTTACCTGAAATTGAAAGAAGCCACGTAGCTTTTTTCTCCTATGGTTATGTGTTGTTCTATACTACTCGTTTATGTTTCTTTTGGCCGTATTAATCCACGTTTAACCCAGTCAAAAGCGGAATAAGTCAAATCCAATGGTGGACAATGAAAAAATGATCCTAGCTCAAGCTTTGAGGTGGCGTTAATTTTGAAGTTTGTAAGATTATTATTTTAAAAGGTCGAACGATTTTTGATCTCGATATAAATTACAAATAATGTTTTATTTAGCAGAGATTATTTATTAAAAAGTGAGAAAAATAAAAATTTCTATGTGACTGTCAATCAGTTCGAATTTCATACAATAACATATATATATCTTTTTGATAATTTGATAATTAACCATAGGAAATCATTTTTATCAAGAAGTCACCGACTGATTTTTAGACATCGAAACAATGAAATATTATAAAGGATAATTATTATTATTATACAGCGCTAATTTTAATCGAATTATTTTATATTTAGTAAAAAGGGTATTATAAGAGAATTTTTTCTATTAAAGCCCAAGTAAAATCGAAAAAATTGAAAGAGCCAAAAAAATTTTTTTCTGAAGTCGGAAACCTCGCGGAAGGATGAAACTGAAAGAGGATAGAATGGCTGAGTAGATAGTTTCAAACCTCTGATGCTGTAGTTCTATGGTATTTTTGTCAGCAATGGTAAGCCTGTAGTTTAAAAATTAAAATTTTCTCAAAATTTCTCTAGTCCAGCAAAACGATCTGAATCAACAAAGAAGAGCTTTTGAAAGGTTGGCAATGAGAAACAAATTCTACAGATTATAGGCTATCCAGCAACCTTAAAAGAAAATTTCGTAGCCTTAAAAAAATATGAATTCTGGTTTGCCTATATGCTAAAATCAGCTATGAAAGGCATGTCTTTGGGTCCATTTTACCACGTAATTGATAACGCCAAAAGAGAAACACTAAAACTTGCACTCATACGAAAAGACCAAATCAAAATCAAAATACGGCTATGCCAACCAAAATGACGACGATTCAAATAGCTTACCTGGTGAGTAAACAGTTGAATAAACGTGAATGGCAAACGAGCGTGGGAGGCGATATTATTGTACTCTTTGAATATAAAAAGAGTCCTTTTAGAAAAATGCTCTAGAAAAAGCCTTATTTGCTTTAATGATTCTTGCTCTAATCTTTTTGATTGTGAAATTTTTCGACGATGTAAATGCTGCGACGGTTGCAATCCAAGAATGCCACAATGGAGGTGCGGAAGCTGATCAACCCCCACAAGGTCAAATACCAAGGCGTCCTGTTCCCAGTCCATTTGCTTGTCGCGATAACGATCAAAATGGCTTGTGTAATGCTCTGTTCCCTAATGATAATATTGCCAACAATCTTGATCAGTAAGTGCTTTTCAGTAAATTGTGAAATCCTGATGATTAGGCCTGAGAAGATGATTTTCCTAAAATTTCATTGCAGTAGTTTCAATTGGACAAAATTTTGCTAAAATAAGATTAACAGCGCAGTTTTGAATAAATGTGGAGAAAGACCGACTAGTTTAAAAATAAAATTGAAAGATTTTCAGTCCATAAATCTTTTTTGCTCAATGCTTATGTTAAAGATGTAATGCAGGGCAAGAACCTATAAGGTGAATCAGAACTGCTTCGCTCCCACACATTCTTCTATTGCTATCAGGTTTTGCGCATCAACTTGTGCTTTATGTTGCAAAACTCCTCAGTTCAGTGGGTGTCCTGATAGTGAGTCGTTCTTTTAAAGGTTTTTTTTCGAATAAAACATCAACTAATTGTTGAATGCGATTCAAAATATCAAAATGTCTTTCAGTTGTAAGCAATTGCACACTATTTGTGGAAAATCCAGCTCTTTGTACCAGTCAACATCTTTCCGCGTTTGCACTAGAAAAATGTGCAAAAACTTGTGGCTTGTGCGATAAACCTGGTTCGGCTGGTGGTTGCCCGGACACTAATGAAAACTGTAATCTCCTAAGAACTTTTAGTTCTTGCAATGATACATTTATGCAGCAAAATTGCCAGAGAACTTGCGGTTTGAAAAATTGTTTAGGTAAATCTTTTCTTTATAGTAATTATGGAACTCTTTATATTTTTCGAAATGTTATTCTGGTGACAATTTTAGGAACGACTACTGTCGCCTCGTCAAACTGCAGAGATGAAAGAGTCGATTGCGCTCGACATCGACAGTTCTGCCATGTGCACCCATTTTCATCGTATTATAATATTTATTGTCGTAAAACGTGCAATTTCTGCTGAAAGCCTAGTTTATTCTCTAACGGCCAGAAGAGATAAAGAAAATAATCGGTTCTTATAATGAACATTTTTTTTTTTCAATCTTTATCGAAACTTTTATTCTTTGGAGCTTTGCACTATTTTAATAAACTTTTAATTAACAGCGAATGAAATCTGCTTGAACCAAACTGCATTGAAATACATTACAATATGTATTTTTTTTTCAGAAGCTGTTTCAGATTCGATTTATTCCACTGGGCATATAAATTTTGCATAAAAAGAAAAATGTCGGATATAAGGCATATCGTTTATAAAATGTAGAAATATAGAGAATATGGAAAGGAACATAGGCAGATCGCCAGTTCCACTCGGTATGAAATTTAGCGGTATCTCATTGAAAATATTTCTTAATAATAGACTGCATAAAAATTTAACCTTAAAAATATTGAAACGCAATTGTCGTTTCTGCAAAAATAAGCATATAAATGTAGCGAGCTTTATTTTCTTCTCATCTATCATTTTTATCAGTCATTTATCAGTGAAAAACTTTTTTTCTCAGTTTATTTTTGAATTCTTCGAAAAATTTTGCAATTTTTTCATTAACACATTAAACTAAATGATTTCATTTTTCTTGCACCACTTTAAATTTTTTTTTTTTGAGTCTGCAATCAACATTTTACCTCATTGTTTGAAAATAATCATCTTTTTGCCGATATCTCATTAAATCAAATCATATAAAAAAAAAAAACTAAAGACCATAATTTTATAATTTTATTGAAAATTGAATTTTTTTCTATCGGCTTAGATAAATTCTTTGTATGCTTGTTTATACGGCTACTCACAGAACTACAACAGAAGAAAAATAATAGATGAAGAAACTAGTAATGGTGAATTACCAGTATCGCCAGGAATATGTCAATAAAAGAGAACGATGGAAAATATTGCGATGGTTCGAGTAAGGTTTAGAGTAAGGTTCGAAAGATGAAATCGTTTATATCGAGAAATAATAGCCATTTTAGCAAAAAAACGAACAAAGTGCTTGAGGGCAGACAAAAAACTTTGAGAAACGATGGAAAAAATCAGAAGAAAAATTCATTCATTCTTCAAACAACCATTCTTCAACTATTAATTTTCAAAATGCGCAATTTAACTGCTTTAGCACATGCGGAGGTCCTTGCCTCAGGCACATGTAAGGCTAATAGTAAAATTTTGCAGAAAAAGCGATTAAATTGTCGTTAATACAGATATAAACACTAACTGGAAATTTTCATATGCCAATTGAGCAATGAGGGATAGAATGGCTCAGTGGATTGTTGCTCAATCGGGAACGCCGATGCTGAGGTTCGATTCCCTGCAGGAATAAACCTGTACAAATCCGGGTGATGCTGGCGACTCACCTGTATTTCTATCGTCAAGGGACTCCCTGGCATGTTGCCCAATGCGACAAGCCAGTGGGACGAGTTTGACCAGTAATGGTGAGGACTTTCAAAAAAAAAATTGAGCAATACTATTCCACCTTAGTTATTGAAGGGTTACTTGAAACCCTGCAGTATTATGATATACTTGGTATCCTTCGCGTGCTGTTTAAGAACTGGAGGAAACAAAGTATTGAACCAAATTATCTCAGTTTGCAATGATAATTCGATTTTGAGCACAAAATTTAAAGCGAAATATAGGAAATATACCTAATCTCTGACAAAATTGAAAATAGTCTGAATATGACTTTGAATGAACAGTTTGATAATATAAGTTCGTCGCCTCTACAATGCGAAATCGTGCTTCAGATATGAAAAAGATGATAATGGCACAATAATATTTATCACTGTATCAATCATTGTTATTGAAAGTTTACGGTCATTGATGATATTTTTCATCATTTTTTATTTTCATTTTCTTGAAACTCGAATAATTACTTCACTAGTATTATTTATAAATGGTAATTATTTTTCAATAATTCCAAAAGTAAATTAAAAATTGTAAGAAAATTTCCAGCCATATTGAAATTTATAAAAGCATTCATCATTTCAACTATCAGAAAAACGTGATTTTTGAATTACTCACGTTTTAATAAATTAATACAATAAATTAGTTAAAATAATGTCTTTTGCAAGAAAATAAAAATTTAAATTTTACAAAATTATGTGAAGCGCCATTTAACTACGCGAAAAAACTAAATATGCCCTCAAGCAATGATAATATCAGAAATTTGCAGATTATTAGTTTGCTAATTCATCAATACTTTCAATAAGCATTGCCATGAAAAGCTTTTAAAAGGCTAAATAAGAATTTTGCAATTTCAACTTTGATGGAAATACCACAAAATGGCATAAAAGCGACGATATTCCATTGCTAATTTTTCCTAAGTTGATTTTTTCAATGGAAATGAAGTGTTAAATCATCTACAGTAGACTGGTTGAGTTGGTTATTGGAGCGCCAGAGGTTCCGGTTCCCCTCTCTGGTATTTTTTACTATTTCTCAGCACTTCTGGTGTTCGTGACAGATTACATGAGTGTTTCTTTTTGAAGAATCCTCACCATTACTGGTTAAATTAGCTCCATTGACTTGTTGCAATTGGGTAATATGCCACAGAGTCTCTCGGCGATAGCAATACAGGTGAGTTGGCAGCATCACACGGATTTTTGTATATACTACTGCGAGAAATCGATCCTCAACGCTCCCAATTAAACAACAACCCACTGAGCTATTCTATCTTCATGAGTGTGGAAGCACTCTAATGTTTAATATCTAAGCATCGTGAACATCGGAAATGCACCAATATACTGCGGTGAACCATCTTTAACGCAAATGATCCAAATAATTTCAAATGTCTGAATGCGTTTCAATTTTAAAGACTAGAAGAAATGAAAATGCAATTGAAAAATGCACTGTAGGAAATCCAACTCAAATTTTCATTATTTCTAGTTTTTAACAGTTAACTGGTTGGATTTTGCCACTTGGTTTTTCATTTTACTGCAGTCACCTTGTCTTCATAATAACTTACGCACGATTTTAGGGTATATTCAGCATTAACCTCTGTAAACTCTCTTCCATTTATTATAAAAGTTGATTTTTTTGCATGAGCGAGTGAACAATAAGAATCAGTGCGAATTTGATTTGAAAGATTTTATTATCTGATAAGAGGTCAGAGATATTCAGAGTAACAATTTTATCATTCGGCAAGAGATTATCACCAGAATCGTTCGTTTAATCATTTGGAAAATGGTTACTTGCTGGCTTTTCACAATGATATGGGTTTTCGTTCTAGAAAAATTGTGGCATTTCTAATTATTCAAACCTAAGTAGCGGCTTTGGCGATTAACGAAAAGATTCACTAAAACTAATATATGGTCAAGTTAAGAGAGAAAATCACCGCACTATATTATAAACTATGGGAGAATAGTTTTTATATCGGTTTTTATATTGAATTTTTACGATAGAGTGCTTCTGAGAACATCGTATTGTGTTGTGCATCAAATAATCAACCATAAAAAACCACTATTATTAATGAACCATCGACAAAATACAATTGAACTTTAAACATTGAAAGTGGAAATGAATTAAGCGGTAGATAAGCAAATACGGTGAAATATGTTATGATAAGCGATCTTAATAATTATTAAAATCGATAACGACAGATTTCATTCACTATTATGAGAAAATTTTTTCGGTAATATTTAAAAAATTGAAAAAAACCGGAAAAAAATTTTCTTCAACAAAATAAAAATCTTGAAACCTTAAATTTTTGCAAAATTTAATTAAATTTTTGCAATAAAATTTTTTTTATAATATTTAATCGATTTGCCATCTCAACCTTTCTGCTTCAAATTTTCTTCCCTTCCACTTTATTAGGAATCTCTTAACTGCCTATTGCAAGGGATTCCCCATGGATATTAATGCAACGGACGATTATATAACAACGCTTGGTTACACATCCGCCAAGAAATAATGATCCAAAGATGAACGAACTAGCAATCCAAACTATACATTATTGGTCTAAGCTCTCTCTCTCTCTTGCAGGCGATATTATGCCATTTGGCTTTCACATCTTTCTTTCCATCCATCTGTCTCGAAAATACTTATCAATAAAAAAGACAGGAGAACTTTCTATCATAACTTAGAGTAATGGTATGAAACAAATAAAAGTTGCGGAATATTGCGCTATCACCAGCTAAATAATTTATAAATCCTTAAAACAATGGACCATGTTGATATAATATCCAGAAATTGGCATCTGTCGTTATATCTCGCCTGCAATCTTAAAAGTTCATTTTGGGTTGAAATAATAATAAATTATCTATAAAGACAAATCTTCGAAGAAATATGACCTAAAAGCTGTTTCTTTTCCATCTATTAACGTCAGAAAAAAAATGAAAAATTTATTTAGAAAGATTCAAAAATATGACTGGCAATAAAATATAAATTAAAGATGACCCATAATGAGTTCATTAAACAGGTGAGTAAACGGAAAATGGAGAGTGATAAATGAACGTGGGAGGTGATGTTATTGTATTGAAATGACTTAAAAAGAGGATTAATGCAGAAGGAAATGGAATAGTCGTGATGATTCTTGCTCTGATCCTCTTGATTTTACGGTTTCTGAACAAAGCAAATGCTGAGACAGTAGTAATCACAGAGTGCCACAATGGAGGTGTGGAAGTAGCAGCCCAGAATCAAATATCAAGGCGTCCTGTTCCCAGCGCATCAGCCTGTCGTGATAACGATCAAAGTGGCTTATGTAACGCTTTGTTCCCTATTAATGATGCCCTTGCCACCAATGCGGATCCGTAAGCTATTTTATAAACAAAAATTCTATCTTGAAAGAAGATTGAATGAAGATTGCAAATTTGCCAATTTTACTCAAAAAATATTGTTTATTTATGTAAAATATGTAAAGTATTGACAATATTCGATATTACTATAACTTTCAGCAAAGGTTATAGTAAAAAATTAAAAATATTTTTTCTCCTTAGCTCGCCTTAGTGTAGGCATTAAAGACGTACATTGCAGAGCTCAGCCTTATAAAGTTCATCGAGATTGCTTCGCTCCCACGCATTCCTCCATTGCCATCAGATTTTGTGCTTCAACTTGTGCTTTATGCTGCAAAACTCCTCAGTTCAGCACCTGTCCTGATAGTAAGTCATTCTTGTTCTCGTTTTCTTTGAATAAAGGTACCAATTTACTATAAGATACTAATAAAGATACTAATTTTTTGGCCCGATTTATTCGATTTACAGCAAATTTCAGTTGTAAATAATTGCACACTATTTGCGGACAATCCAGCTCTTTGTAACAGTCCACAACTTTCCGCTTTTGCACTTGAAAGATGTGCGAAAACTTGTGGCTTATGCGATAAACCTGGCTCGGCTGGTGGTTGCCCGGACACTAATGAAAACTGTAATCTCCTAAGAAATTTGCATTCCTGCAATGATACATTTATGCAGCAAAATTGCCAAAGAACCTGTGGTTTAAAAAATTGTTTAGGTAAAGCTTTTTTTATATTAAATGTGAATTTCCTTATATTAAATGAAATATTATTTTGTGGCATTTCTTAGGAACAACTACTGTGGCTGCATCAAGTTGCATAGATGAAAGGGTCGATTGCGCTCGCCACCTACAATTTTGTCGTGTGCCACCATTCTCCTCGTATTATAGTATTTATTGCCGTAAAACATGTAGTTATTGCTGAGATCTCTGCTCTTTTTCTGTTGGCCAGAAAAACAAAATGGATGATCGTTTAATTGGTTTTTCTAATAAAATTTTTGAAGTATTTCAATATTTTATTCGACATTTTTTGTATTCCTTCGAAGTAGAAATTACTTTTATTTTCTTTCACATGCGACTGAATTATAATAAAATTTGCGAGAATTAAATTTAAATTGAAATATATAAGAATATAATTTTTTTCTCAGAGTGCTCAGCATTTCTGTTTCGGTTTGCTTCCTCGAAGACAAAAATTTTCCAGATAAATTACAGAAAATTTACATAAATTTTTCACATAGAACAGTGAATGAAAATGAGGAAAAACTTATTGAAGAAGAGAAATTTACTAAAATATTTTTTAACTTCGTCTTGAAGATCATACAATAAAAAAAATATAAAAAATATTCTAAAATATATATAGTAAAATGAAAGTTTACGCAGAAATATAGAATAAATAAATATATAATTATGTAAATAAATTATTAATTATGCAAATTATTAAATAAATTTATAAAAAATGTCCCAAAATAAAATATTAGTGCAATGAAAAAAATTAAAGACAACTAAACTACACTCTGTATTAAACATTCAATTTCTCCTCATTCTTCAAGCAAGTGTCACTTCATTGCTGTTTTGGCTGGCCTTCACCTGCCAATTAGAGTAATCCTCTCAGCGCCAAGCGTGCAATTAAGTGAAGCCTAACCTTTCTTCACATAAAGTCATATATTCCTTCATCATTTCCTCCAAACATAATTATTTTAAAAATCGAAAGTTCCAAAAAATGCTTTATTCCTTGATAAAAAAATTTGATCTGAGTGCCGAATTAGAATTTTACATTTTCTATTAGCTTATTGGTTTTTATCACTGGGAAATAAAGTGCTATGAATGAATTTCTTCGATTAATGAAAAAATTGAAATTTCTGAAAATATTTCGAAACAGAGTAAAATCTAAAAAATTGAAATTGAAAAAAAACGAAGAAATGAAAAAATTGAAATTGAAAAAAAACGAAGAAATGAAAAAAACTTTCTTTGGCAAAATTTGATCAAATTATATATAAAATATTGTTATAATATATTACAATAATTGAATTGATATTCTCTTATATACTTTCCTTCAAATTTTAACATAAATTTTGAAATCTCCATTGTATTCCTTTAGCGCCATAAAATTTTCTTCTCTTTCTGCTTACAGGCGCAACCCCATAGGCATTATTAATATTTATCGAATATTTAAGTAATATTACAATATTATAAAACGGTTTTAAATTCCATAGTAGCCAATTTCTTAGTGTTTCAGTTTTTTGTTTTATGCTGCTTTTTCCATACATATTTAATCAAAATTATATTATCCTTTAGTGAATTAAAAATACCAACAGTCATTCACTTTACTTTAATTGTTTGATTAGAAAAACTTTAGTGAAGAAAAGGCAAAAATGAAAATCTACAATTATTATGATTTATAAAAGTAGGGGATGTTTTAATTTTGCAAATTAGTTGCATTTTTGGCAATTCTCTTTAAAAATTTTATTTTTGGAAACGAAGATAAAGGTTTAATTTCATAAATTGTTGAATAAATTTCTGGCATATTTTTGAACGGAACTGTGAGACAAAATGCTCGAATATTCATATTTTAAGCCAAGCAATTTATAGCAAATAGAAAATTGGCTGAAGATTGGCCGGAGATTTAATAAGCTCTTTATTGAAATCAAATTTCTCCTTGTTCTTTTAATTTTAATTTAATTATTTCCACGGCTGGTTTGGCTAGCTTGGCCTTGGCTAGTGTATTAATTGAGACTTTTGAAAACTCTCCCAGTTCGATGCTGTACCTGAAATTAACTTTCTCTGTCTCAAGTAAAACTCATGTATCGCTGGATCGTCCATAGGCTCAAAATGTTCACCCCATAGTCCCAAATCTGTCAGCCTTCCACGCTTTCATCCATTATATGATTTGGACAAGTTTCATTAATTCTTTTTTTCCAAAGCTTCAAAAAATTACAGCAATAACAGCAAGTGAGAAATTCATATGACAATTTATCTTCAGAGAAAAATTTTTATTTTAAGAAACTCCATCCAGGAATAAACTGAAAATAGTACTTAAATCAGTGGCTGAATTGACTTTTATAAGATTGTATATTAGACCTATTTGCATGTTAAGCAGTGGGTTTCCCTTTTTTCATATGAAAATTATTAATAATTATAGATGATAGCTTCGAAATATAATGGTAATTTATTGCGATGCAAAGAGCGACGAAGAAATGAAAACTTACTTACTGATGCTTACTAAAGTACAACTGTTTTTTGAACAGCGAGTTATGACACTGATTTTCACCGCTTTGTAAATAATTTTTCCTACACGTAAGCAAACATGCGAAATATGATATGATAAGGGATTGCAATAGCGAAGTGTTGATAACAGTAACAAATTTTTTTATATTATGAAAAAGTTATTATAAAAGATCTTTTTTCCTTCAAACCTAGGTAGAACTTAAGTAGAAACTAAAAAAGTGGTATCATTGATAAAATTTTCGTCCTGGAAATTATTTTTCAGAATTTCCTAGAAATTTGTTGAATCTTTTTCCTGGCAAAGTGCGTACGTGTAATAAAATTAATGGTTACAAATTATTCAACCGATTTATCACATGTCAACTTTTCTATTTTCCATTTCAATTTTTTGCTGGCTCGAACCACTGGCTAGTTGGAAGAGAATCAGAATCACCAGAAAAAGAAAAGTAAAGGCGATTATGCAGTGGCACACTCATATGCCTTCCAAGAGATAAGAATGTAATGGCCAATGATTGAAATCCCAAATAACACATTGCCCTTTTTTCATATGCCAATTTCACCGCTTGATTTCTAAAGGTAAAATTTTTTTTTGTTCTTTTGTGCTTTGCAAAATAATTATTATTAAAAAAACTGCAACATCAAGTTTGTACATTTATGAACATGGAAATGTTGGGAGGCAATTGCATCATCCTTTTCTGTATAATGGATATAAATATTCCTGTAAGGTTGCTTCTATGACTTTACATGACAGAAAAGCGGAAAAAATTGGATTATGCCACATATTTTGATGAAAAAATCAAAAATAAATAGTTAAAAATTTATTCAACCCACTTATCTTTATGAGCCTTCTTACTCATCCACCACTAGTAGCCTTAACTGATTTCACTAGCAATTAGAATAAAAACTTTCCCAAGATTTCTGAACCGATGCCGTTCCTATATATCAATAAGATTTCGTATGTTAAAAATATTCTTTAATCATACTGATATACGTTTGATCAGTTGTCCTTCTTTTTGGTATCATCCATCACCACACTCAGTTATTATTTGAATTCCTGAAATAGGCGACGAAAATCGTTAATCGTTAAAGTCGCTTTTTCTTAGCAGATTTTTTTCTTAGATTTTTTAAACATATTCAGAATAGAATTTTACTTCATGAACTTCAAGAACAAATGTGATAGAATGAAGATGATTTGGCTTTTCTGGTTATCTGAAATAAAATGCACACTGCTATTAAATATAGAATATTATAACAATATTTATAACAACTGAAGTAGTAAAATGTCTTAAAATGGATGCAGAAATGTGGTCGCGAATATGGTGAAAAAAATTGAAAATCTTAAAGCAATCGATTTGGTTGATATAGCGGCAGAAATTTGGCTGATACATCTAAAACTAAGATTTTTTAGCACTGTGAAATGGAATTAATTTAATTATAGTAAACCTCCGAGGGAAGCATTCTGTATAATCTATTGTATAATTTATATAGAAGGAAATTCACTTTGAGAAAAAAATTCAAAATATGATTGGCGATAAAAATAAGGATAATTAGTAATAGCTTATCGAGCAGGTGGACAAATAAATAGAGGTGAAACATAATATAGGAAGCGATGTTATTGTGCTCAAAGGATATAAAAGGAGGCTTAATGTTGAAAAAAATTAAAATAAAAAATAAAATATTTCCGATGATAATGATTCTTAGTCTGATTCTTTTGATTTTAAATTTGAACGAATCTTATGGTGGGACAATTGTTATCAAAGAATGTCACAATGGAGGCGTAGACAAAGACCAGCCTGGTCCTGGTGAAACACCAAGACGCCCTGTTCCTAGCGCAACAGCTTGTCATGACAACGATCAAAGTGGTCTCTGCAACATTTTATTCCCTAACGCTGACATTGCCAATAGCGTAGATCCGTAAGTCCGTTAATAAATTGTGATTGTGAAGATTCTCTTAAATGTATAAATATATAGATATTAAAATTAAATATTAAATATTAAAATATTAAAATTTCATTCAATTTCTACTAGTTTCATGCTTAAGTAAAATTCGGTGAAAAAATTAAAGTAGTGATATCACTGTGGGCAGATATTGTAGATTAATTTATACTTAAAAGGTTTCTATCTTTCATTCTATTTATTAGAGTCGACACATTGCAGGACTAAACCTTACAAAGTCAATGAGAACTGTTCTTCTGCAACACATTCATCCATTGCTACCAAATTTTGTGCATCAACTTGCGCTTTATGTTGCAAAATACCTCGATTCAGCGCCTGCCACGATAGTAAATCGTTCTTGTCAAATTTTTTTCCAAATAAAAAAGCAAATTCGTAGGTGCGATTTATAAAAAATTTTCAGCTGCAAGCAATTGCACATTATTTGAAAATCCAGCGCTTTGCACCAGTCAACATCTTTACGCCTTTGCACTTGAAAGATGTGCGAAAACTTGTGGCTTATGCGATAAACCTGGCTCGGCTGGTGGTTGCCCGGACACTAATGAAAACTGTAATCTGCTAAGAAGTTTTCGCCCTTGCAGTGATTAATGCAGCAAAATTGCCAAAGAACTTGTGGTTTGAAAAATTGTTTAGGTAAAATTTTTTTTATAAATGTAAAACTCATCTTTTACGAGATGTTATTTTGCGATATTTTTAGGAACGACTACTGTGGTTGCATCAAGTTGCAGAGATGAAAGGGTCGATTGCGCTCGCCATCTACAATTCTGTCGCGTCTCCCCATTCTCATCGTATTACAGTGTTTATTGCCGTAAAACCTGCAGTTATTGCTGAGGTCTCTGCTCGTTCCTTGCAAAAAAAATTATCTTATGTTTGGTTAAAGCGAAAAGATTTTTTTGTTTCATCCTTGTCAAAACTTTTTATATTGTAAAGCTTTGCATTGTTTCGCTTCAATTTTTTCTTTCCTTGGAGAATAGAATACTTTATTTTATTTCACATTTAATTTAATCTAATTTTATATTGATAGAAATTCTAATAAAATCAGCATGAATCGAACTGCACTGAAAACGGAATTACATAACTATGCGCATAATTTTTTTCCAAAGAGCGCTCATTATTTCTTGTTCGACATCGCTGAACTGCGTGAATTTTCACCGAGATTTGCTTCATCGAGGAATGAAATTGAAACCCCACAATAAGATTAAAAATACTATTGGTGTTTTTCGCATAGTGGTGGAGGATTTTAGGAAGCAAAAGTATCGGATCAAATTATCTCAGTTTGCAATGCTAATTAGAACTTGAAGCAAAATATGGGAAATATCTAAATCTCCAACAAAATTGCAAATACTATCGCCTGAAGATGAATTTGGGTGATTGGTTTTTGATAATACAATCCAGTTTCTCGCCTCTGCAAAGCAAAATCGCGCTGGGATTTATTGGTATGAATAAAGGAGATGATAATGGCACAGTAATACATGTTAATTGTTATTCGAAATTTAAAGTTTACGCTCATATTTTTCATGAAACTCCAATTATTATTTCAATATTTATTATTTGTAATTGGTAATTATTTTTCACTAATTCCAAAAGTAAATTATAAATTGTAAGAAAATTTCCAGTCATATCGAAATTTCTAAAAGCATTCACCATTTCAACCATCAGAAAAACGTGATTTTTGAATTACTCTTAATAAATGAATGCAATAAATTAGTTAAAATAAATGTTTTTTGTAAGAAAATAAAAATTCAAATTTTACAAAATTATGTGAAGCGCCATTTAACAACGCGAAAAAACTAAATATGCCCTCAAGCAATGATAATATCAGAAATTGCAGATTATTAGTCGGCTAATTTATCGATACTTTCAATAATGCATTGCCATGAAAAGCTTTTAAAAGGCTAAGTAAGAATTTTGCAATTTCAACTTTGATGGAAATACCACAAAATAGTGGCATAAAACCGACGATATTTCATTGCTAATTTTTCCTAAATTAATTTTTTCAATGGAAATGAAGTGTTAAATCATCTACTGGTTGAATTGGTTATTGGAGCGCCAGAGGTTCCCCTCTCTGCAGGAGTGAAATTGCCCAAATATCTGAGTGATGATTGTGGCTCACCTCTACTTCCATCGCTGAAGGATTCTCTGGCACATTTACCTAGTGGATCAGCGCAGCGAGTCCAACCAATAATGCGAGTGCTCCCACAAATAAGCAATAGTACAAACATTCTACCTAAATAAAATAAACTAATGTTTTAATATCCGAAACGGGACCAATGCTATTAGTATTTTTTGCTATTTCTCAACATATTTGAATGCGTTTCAATTTTAAAGACTAGAAAAAATGGAATAAATGAAAATGCAATTGAAAAATGCACTGAAGGAATTTAAATTCAAATTTTCATTATTTCTAGTTTTTAACAGTTAACTGGTTGGATTTTGCTTTTCATTTTACTGCAGTCACCTTGTCTTCATAATAACTTATATACAATTTTAGGGTTTATTCAGCAATTAACCTCTGTAAACTTTCTTTCATTTATTATAAAAGTTGATTTTTTTGCATGAGCGAGTGAACAATAAGAATCAGTGCGAATTTGATTTGAAAGATTTTATCAACTGATAAGAGGTCAGAGATATTCAGAGTAATAATTTTATCATTCGGCAAGAGATTATCACCAGAATCGCTCGTTTAACCATCTGAAAAATGGTTACTTGCTGGCTTTTCACAATGATATGGGTTTTCCTTCTAGAATAATTGTGGCATTTCTAAATTGCAAATTATTCAAACCTAAGTAGCGGCTTTGGCGATTAACGAAAAGATTCACTAAAACTAATATATGGTCAAGTTAAGGGAGAAAATCACCGCACTATATTATAAACTATGGGAGAATAGTTTTTCTAATGGCTTCGCGAATGTTTACGATAGAGTGCTTCTGAGAACATCGTATTGTGTTGTGCAACAAATAATCAACCATAGGAAACCACTATAATTAATGAACCATCGACAAAATATAATTGAACTTTGAACATTGAAAGTGGAAAAGAATTAAGCGATAGGAAAGCAAATATGACGAAATATGATGGGGGATTTTAATAGTTCATTACTATAAAATCAAGATCAACTTGCACTTTATTTTGCAAAATGCCTCATCTCAGTTGCTGTCCCAACAGTAAGTGGTTCTTCTCGAGAGTTTTTTCGAATAAACATGCTTGTTTTTAGTTGCGATTAGCAATAAACTTTTCAATTGCACTATTTGCTGATAGTTCGGCGCTTTGTTCCCGTCAGTAACTTTTCGCTTTTGTACTTGAATGATGTGAAACTTGTGGCTTATGTGATACACCTGGCTCGAGTGGTAGTTGCCCGGACACTAATGAAAACTCTTGATCTCCTAAGAATTTTCTACCCTTGCTATGATGTATTTATATATATTTATGCAGCAAAATTGCCAAAGAGTTTGTGGTTTAAAAAATTATTAGGTAAAGTTTTTTTCATGGTAATTATAAATCTCCTCGTATTATACGAAATGCGGGGTATTTTTTATGCATTGTGAGATGGAAAAAGATGAAAAAATGCGCAATTTAACTGCTGTAGTACTTGCTCAGATTCTTGCCTCAGGCAAGAATAAGCCGGACATTAAAATCCTGGTGGTGTTGAAAATTGTACATATAATCCAAATTTTTATTCATGACCGTATAAAAATTGCAGAAATTGTTCACTTAATGCAAATTAAATCTAACCATGAACGATGAGCACATATTTTGCATAACGATCTCTTTTATAATGTGATTGTAGTAAAAGACCGCTAGGTACTAGGTACCGTGAAGGAATTTAATAAGTTTTAGATTAAAAACCTTTTAGCAAGGGTGTTGCTGGAGATTTGAAATAAAATAAGCTCCCAGCACCAAAAGGATTTCGTTATTCACCACTTATCTTACAAAAAATATCTTATAAGAAATATATTCGGGGTGATAAAAGGCTAAAAAAAAGCCTGCCAACTACAAATCTGCTGATTCGATGTTATGATTAAAATTTAAAAAATTTAAAAAAGCCGATTTTTTCTCCTAAGCCCGTATATTACTCTAAATTATTAAATCTCCTTTGACCTCTAAATAATTATTTTAAATATTATAAAATATTATCATAAAATTATAAAATTATAATTATTATCTTTATTATAAAATTTAGCCAATAGCGACATAATTTAGATCCAGTGGTGGACGACTGAGGAAACGATCTTAATAAACGCGTAGGAAGCTTTGAGGTGGCGTTAGCTTTGACGTTCCAATATGGCAGCAACAATTTTCTGCGATGGTATTTTGCAAATAATAAAAATACAAGTTCAGAAATATTTTAAAATCAATATTTTAAAAAATCAAAAGATCCTAAGATCTTCAATCTCGATATAAACTATAAATAATTCTTTATTTTTGGAGAGTGGAGAAATTAAAATTTCTATGCGATTGTTTATCAGTTTGAATTTTGCTATATATTAGCTTATTGGTCGTTATAATTAACTATAGGAAATCATTGTTGTAAGCGAAACTATTGTTAAAAAATAAAGTATAACTGATTTTTAAACATTGATAATTTTATACATAATTTCCTCAACAGATAAGCAAATAAATATGGCGAAATTTGATTTGATAAGGAATTTGAATAGCCCATTATTAGCACAGCAACAAATTTCTTTTATGCTTATAAAAAAGTTATTTTACAAAAATTTTTTTCGTTCAATTTGAAAAACTGAAAAATAAAATCATTTTTATTTTTAAAATAAAATGAATAAAATGAATCAATTAAAAAAAAAATAAAAATTTCAAAAACACTGAAAAAATTCGAAAAAATTTTCTTCGGCAAAATCAAATTCTCAAAAAGTGTTGCGAAATTTAATTAAATCATAAAATAATTTTTTAATAAATTATCGAATCGATTTGCCATCTCAACTTTTGTACTGCCTATATTTTTTCCTTATAAAATTCATTTTTTCTGGATTCGCTTTATTTGCTATTTGAAGATATTCGCTAGGAACAGCGTGAGAGACGATTATACAGTACAACCCATATGCATATGTATTAGGACTTGAAGAACTAAAACCGATGATTGAACTGATATTTTTTTTCTGATATACTATGCTTAGAGCATATGAATAAGTTCGATGAAAAGTGATAATACAAGTGATAATAGTTGCTTTTGTTGTTACTTCAATTATATGAAACTACTAAGAAATAAAATGAATTGCATTAATAAAGAAATTAAAGCTGAAATAGAAAATGAAAATGAAACAGAGAAAAATTCCTAGAATATGGTATTGCAATCGGCTGCACGTTTTTTGTTTTGTTTAAAATATGGAGATAATACCAAGAAAGATTTATGGTTAAGAGCCTTTCGGTTTCAAAAAAATAAAAGGTTATATCTCTACATGCAAAAAAGGAAGAGTTCTGTTCATTTGCCATATAATTAATATCAGAAGCGAATTTATTTCGAGAGGAAAAAATAAAAATATGATAATAGCGTTAATAATATCAAAGATGAATCGCAAAAGCTCATCAAAACAGGTAAAACAGAAAAAACGCAAAATGAGAGGAGAGAAGAGAAACGTGGGAGGGAGGTTATATCATTGTACTTAGAGGATATAAAAAGAGGTTTATTGTTGAAATGAAATAAATTAAGCTTAACCTGAAGTTCTGATGATTCTTTTTCTGGTCGTTTTGCTCTTACAATTTCTAAGCGAAACAAATGCTATGACGGTGGCAATTACAGAATGTCACAATGGAGGTGTGACTAACGACCAACCTGCACAAGGCGAAACACCAAGACGCCCCGTTCCCAGTGCATCAGCTTGTCATGATAACGACCAAAATGGCTTATGTAATGCTTTATTCCCTAATGATAACATTGCTAACAATTTGAATCCGTAAGTGCACATACTTTTTTATAAAAAATCTTGATGATTCGTTTCTGAATAATGGAATGATTATTTTAAAAATTTATTTTATTTCCACTGGTTTTGATAAAATAATATCGAAATTCTCGGCAAATATTACGAAAACAAGAATTAGTCTATAAAAAATTAACATAAAAAAATTAAATGATTTCTCGTATTTCGCTCTCTTTGCTTGAAACATTTATTAAAAATGTACATTGCAGGGGTTTGCCTTATAAGGTTCACCAGAACTGCTTCGCGGTTACACATTCATCTATTGCTACTAAATTTTGTGCATCAACTTGCGCTTTGTGCTGCAAAACTCCCCAATTCAGCAGTTGTCCGGATAGTAAATCCTTCCTGTCAAATTTTTTTCAAATAAAGATATCTATTTTTAGGTTTATAAATTATTTTGATTCATAATTAATTATTTTAATTAATTATTTTCAGCTGCAAGTAATTGCACAATTTTTGCGCAAAATTTGGCACTTTGCACCAGTCAACAACTTTCTGCCTTTGCACTTGAACGATGTGCAAAAACTTGTGGCTTATGTGATAAGCCTGGTTCTGCTGGTGGTTGTCCTGACACTAGTGAAGGTTGTGATCTCCTAAGAGCTTTTCGTCCCTGCAATGATACATTTATGCAACAAAATTGCCAGAGAACTTGTGATTTGAAAAATTGTTTAGGTGAATCTTTTTTTATAGTAATTAGCACATATAAAAACTCCCTATATTTCATGAAAGTTACATGCCATTAGGTGCCATTTTCAGGAACTACTACTATGGCTGCATCAAACTGCAGAGATGAAAGAGTCGATTGCGCTCGACATCGACAGTTCTGCCATGTGCACCCATTTTCATCGTATTATAGTATTTTCTGTCGTAAAACGTGTGAATTCTGCTGAAATCTCTTTTCATTCCCTCAGTGAAGAGAACAAAGACTGATCTTATATTCGCTTCTTGAAATGAAAATAGTTCCTTTCTCTTTATGTTTAATTCTATATTGATGCTTTTTAATGTTCCTTTGACTTTTCTATTTCTTCAATTAGAGTGGTGATAACTTTTTTTTATTCCTATTCATTCTAATAAAATTAACATTGCAGTAAAAATATATATTATACAATAAAAATTTTTTTTAAGAGTTTTTTTCTAGTTATTGGGTTTCCTCCATTGGCTTATTGGGCCACAGAAAAGTTATTAGGCATTTTAGGAAGCACAACGAATTACAGCAAAAAATTTGATAGAAATACAGTTGAACCGCTAACATTCCTCGGCATAAAATTTAAAAACAAAAGATTTTATGAAGGAATTTTACCATTAGTTATAAAGGAAAGCTTAGTGGATGAGATAGGGATGTACTTTTTTAAGTCAGCATGATGGTGAAATCAAAATTACTTATATTAAATTAATTATTTGAATAACACTTCAAAAATTTTTTAGTGATTATTTTTTGCCCTATTATAAGTATTTCAAAATAGAAGCATGTAAAATCCAGCATTTTGCTGAGGGTTTGATTTTAGGTGTGGAATTGGGCCGATTCTTAAAAACATTTAGATATTCCTGGGTTTTTGTATTTCTGTATGATAACCCTAAATATACTTGCTCAAGCTAAATTTCTAAAGGTGAAATGAATTTTAAACAATTTTTTGATTATAGTCTAACATTAGTATATATTTTAGACCACTGGTGAATGAGAAATTCTTTTCCAAGACTTAGTCTGAGGCATATGCCAAACCCAACGTTTAGTAAGAGGCATGGCCATGGATTTGCCTAGGGCCAAGGCTTCGGACAATAACAAAACTTAGTTCGAGAGCCATACGCTTCGACCGGTACATGGATGCACAAAGATACGGCTAGCGCCAAAGCCTAGGCCAAGGCATATTCTTGGGCTTAGACGGTTTGTGCAGAATCATCGGAATAGAGGACAATGGTTTAAGGGAATTTGGGCTTAGGCAAGGTTTTTCATAAAATAAATAGGATTGATAAAACAAATCAACAAAATATAATTGATTATAGGAAATATCCAAAAAATTTGAAAGCAATGATTTCGCATATAGAACAGTAGCTTTTATGGAAGATTATTGCACCCTAACAAGAATGGAAGAAGCGCAAATTTTCCTAAATAGCTATAATATTTTCCTCTTCAAGAATCCTCACCATTACTAGTTAAGCTCGCTACATTGAACGAATATTCGAAGTAGACCATTGATAGTCGATGGAAGTAGATGTGAGCAGTCACTCGAATTTTTCTACAAGTTTATCCCAATGAGGAATAGAACTCTAGCATGGACGCTCCAAACTGATCAACAACTACTGAGCCATTCGACCATAGTTCTAGATTTCTTTCATTTTCCAAAAACTCGTACAGTATCGGTTTTTTCGCTAAACCCTCATTGCAATCAAAGGAAACGAGGCCTGTTTTGAGCAGTATGGAATATATCAAAACCAATTACATAATATAAAAAAGAATTGTCATAGGTCAGTTGTCGCTATTATGTCGCTATAGGTTCTCGATTTTTGCTATTTTGTCGCTCGACTTGAACTATTGATTGACCGTGCCTTATACTTTTGTCTAATAATGGTTCCTCATTGAACTGTGGCGAAAAACACCATATTAAAGTGATTAACATTTTTTACAACAGATCGATGATACCATTGGTATAAAAAGTTATTTTTATTTTTTTATTTTTCATTAAATTTTCATTTCTTCTTCATTACAAAATTTATTTTAAGTGCCTATTTATATAATTGATTATATATTTATAATGTAAATGATGATAATTATATATTTACCTTAAATTTAATTAAATCATATTTTAAAAAAATTTGCTAAATCAAATTAGAAGAATATTAGTAAATGTAAATAATTTCGTCGAAAACGAAATTTAGTCGAAAAGATACTAATTTTTAGAGCTTCAGCACGAAAATTTATTGGAACATGAGAAAAATGACGACAATGACGACGACTTTTTTTCACTAAAATTTAGTCTATTTGGTCCTAAAGTTTATTTTTTCCCAAGGAAATACACGATACACACTAATTTGTTTTGTAATTATTTTCATGAAAAATTATAAAATTTTAGACCTTGGCTTGAGCTTGGACTTGCCCTTAGGCTTGGGTTTAGGCTTTCGCTTGGGCCTAGAGTTGGCCAAGGCTTTAGCCAAGGCTTGGAATTAGGCCATTGTTTATACTGAGGCTTAGGCGAAGGCCAACGTTTATTCCGAGGCTTGGCCAAGGAATTTGTTCCGGCCAAGCCTTTGGCTAAGGCTTAGGATTAGACCAAGAACTAGTCCTGGCATTGCATCTATATTGCTGTGATTCGTTCCATCTTGCTATGTCTTGGCCGCAATGGCTCTATGTCTTGGCCAGAGAGAGTGGAGAAGTTATTAAGAAGCTACCTACCTTTGACCAATCTTGTTCAAGGTATATTCTGCGGGTACTTCAGCATACTCCTTCGTTCAAACAGCACCTGTATTAATAATATCATAGAGCGTCGACTTCGGTGGTTAGGAAAGGTTCTCCACGACAAGAGTTGTCGCATATTTCCTTACTTGCTAAACCATGTAATGGATGGCGTAAAAAGCGAGATGGGTCAATCAAGACCTGGACTGATACGGTCAGAAAAGATTTTGAACGTATCGCTTGACTAGCAGTATATGGACTTAGTAATATATGGTAGATGGAAAAAGAAATGGCTTCTATTGTTGACGATAGCATCAGACCGCGCCGCTTGGAAGCGTCTTATCCTTGCCGTTGTAGCCCTAACCAGTAATGGTGAAAAGTATTAGAAGAAGAATGGTTACAAAAAATTATCTTGACCTTTTGTGTTCTTATCAAAAGCCTGTAATCAAATTTGAAATTAAACGTATAATTTGGCATTTAATTTAGAACCTGACAATTGCAAAAATCTTAACTAATCCTGTTATTTTGCGCTTAAGAAATGAAGAGGAGATGTGAGAATCGGATGACATTGCTTCTCGCTTGGCTTGATATTTCATGTTTCGTTCATTTTTCGCTTAAGCTTCTTTATGAAAAGTGTGAAAAATGCTTCAAGGAATTTTTAATGAATGTTTTTCGTTCTTTCCCATGTATCTCAAAAGATGCCTTGAGATATTCCCGAAAGAAGGATGTATAATTCGGTATTTCGCTAAGTGCGTTTGATAAGATTTATTTGATAAGATGAATGGTTCTTTACAAGGTCCTGAATGTTCCAGAACTTTCAGGACTTAAGGATCTGCAGATTTCCCCTAAGCATTTGTCCTTAAACTCGGATTTAATTTCTTAAGAATTCAATGATCGAGTTTTGAAATTTTGAATTTATCCAATATTTCAAATTTCACACGTTTACTTTGAATGCAAATAATTTTTTTTCAATCCTAATTTTTTAATTAAAATTTTATTTTATAAAATAAATTTCGACTTTACTGAATTTTTCTTTATTTTTAGAGTTTAACAATGCATATTCAAAAAATCGGTCTTTCTGATTTAGCGTATTTCGCATAATTTTTCTTTATTACAAAATGAGTTGGGAAGAGAACATGGCCGACCTCTTTTACAACGTTTTCCTTCATCGTATAATTTCTCGAATGTTTCCGCACTAAAAAATTTTCAACAAAATATCGAGAAAATAAACGAGCAAGAAACAAGCAACTCAAATATCGAAATAAAAAAAATTATCACCTCGGCCAGAATTTACAAACGGTTTATTGAATTCCTTCTATTTCACCATCTCCATAATCAATTTCACATTTATTATTTGTAGCACAACCGACATCAGTGGTTAATCCCGATGCAACCTAAATTATCGTTATAATTGAGAATTACTAGTTGGAAAAAAAAGTTAGGAATTGACTAGAATTAATTTTAAAGGAAGATTTAAAAAAAGACGAACCTGTGCAAAATCGTCTAATGCACTGAAGAATTGTTTGGTTGACAGATTAACATTACCTTCGTAAAACTCTCGCACTCTTTTTGTCCATTCCTTTAATGCATCATGCACGGGCTCATCTAGAATTACAAATAAAATAAATAGAATGAGAAAAATTCCATTGATTTTATCATTATTTGCATGCATTTTGCTTTTTTATCACTATTTTTATCATTAAAACCAATAAGAAATTTTATTTAGATCTCGTTCATTCATATTTAAAAAATTTTCTATAATCTTTTTCTAAAATTTTGCATAAATTCACTTGAAATTTTATATTCGACATGTGTAGCTTCACCAATTTTTTGCGAATCTTCACCTGTTAAATTAAAATTACATTCTCTTACTTTCTGTTCAGCCAACGCTTGTAAAGTGCAGTTCCATCTCTAAAAATTCAACATAAATATATGCTTTTTGTGAATACATTCGCGTATTTCAAACAAAAAAGACGATCATGCAAAAAGCTTTCATTAATTGTCAATAATCTAACAATTTTATTTCTATTTGCTTTAAATAATTTAAACAGGAAATTGCTTAGCTTGATGGTGAGCAGTTTTTTTTGTGAAGAGCCAAAAAATCGAATAATTAATTATTGATCTTCATTTTTGACAGGGTTAAACCTGTCAGTATTAATCCGAGTGGCTGCTAAGGGCTCAGTCATAATTCTATCCTCAAGCGATCCCATGGTGAAAGGGTCGAGTTTTCTTGACGCAGTGCCCGCATCATCTGATGCTCAAGACTGACTGCTCATATTTGACTGTTTTTTTTAAGGTAGAATTTCAATTTTTTATCTGCATATGTATATATCTGATAGTGATAAAACTGTTGTACTATAGGAAACATCATCTTGGCTATTAAACTACTTGTTGTATATCAGATCAACTTCAACTTGACAGACAATGCCCGTGCTATAGTTCATAAAAAAAGGTTCTATAATGGCCTAATACTAATGCTATATGCTAATGTGTATTTCTTTATGGATCGAAGAGATATAAGACAGTGGATGAAAATAAGGAATTTAATTGCAGTTTAACTATATGTTGCACCACCTATAAATGAAGCTAAATAGTGGGAAGTCGTACCATAAATTAAATCAGAATTAACCTCGCCTAATTATATTCCCAAAACGATGTATCATATAGTAACCAAAATGTTTTTTAGCTTTAAAAATTATGAAATGCACTCCTTATAAGAGTTATTGTTGCCAACACGATCAGCAAAAGTGGCGGCGATGATTAAATTTAATAGTGTTTGTTTTTTGTTTGCTGATCAAAACAGAGCACTACGAGCTTTATAAAGAGCCTGCGAATACTACGATCTGCGGACCATAGTTTTGATATTTTTTCCTATTTCACTAAAATTTAACTTTTTATTACTTATCATTATCATTACTTAATACGCCTTGTTTGGCTGTTTTTCCTATGAGTAAAAAAAGAATTTAAAATATTTCTAAAATTAACCATTTTATAAATCTCTTTGCCAATTGGAAATTTGCTATCTTTGGTTAAAAATTTTCCTTCTCCGAGCTCTTTCCGGAATTTATTCATGGCATCAAGAATTTTTTGGCTGTCTTTAGAGCTTTGATCATTGCATTCTTTATCTAAATAATATGCGGATTAGACAAATTATACTATAAAATATATTTCATATTCTTTTACACTTTTTTTTTATTAGCTATTTGAATTGATAATAGAATATCACTTCTTTTTTTGTCATTTTGATATGATAAGGGAGAAAAAAGATCATATAAAAATTTTTAATAAAACATTTGTTGCAAACGGGCGATTGAAATTTATTTTTATTGTTTTAAAATTTAAAAATTAAAACTTAATTTATTGAATTTTTAATCGATATCGATTAAAAATTAATAAAAAAATTCGAAATTTTTAGATAATTCGAAGGTTTTAAATTAACAAACAAAATATTAAAAAAATTTAAAAAAATAAAAAATATTAAAAATAAAAAATGAAAATATTTAAAAAAAATTATTATAAAATTATTTTTACGAAAGTCTCGCCTTTCGAAATAATAATATTTATTAAATTTTATGCTCTATGCAAAATCTTTTTGAGATTTTGAATTTGAATTCAAATTTGTTTTTTTGGCTTTTTACCACTTCTGCTTGGTTTATTGGGTACTGGTGCAGGTGCGTTAGGTACAGGCGTAGTCGTTTTTGTTTGATTACATTTAAGTCTTAAGCTTGGTGGTTCTTTCGAGATTTTAGTCCAACATTCAACGATTTTTTGATCACATTCACACAATGCTTTGCCACATGGATTGTCTACAATTTTTGCAATATTTTGTAAAAATTTTAATTTTTAATAAACAATGAAAAATCAAATCATGGGATCTTTAACAATTTTTAGGTTATTGCTATTAAATAGATTAAAAGCTTAGAATTCTGATATGAAAAATATAAAAATTCTAGGAATTATTTTCTTTTTTTCATGCAAAAGAAGGAGCCACTTTGCATTAACAATTAATATTAAATATTATTTGATTTAAAAATTACAGATTTGTTAAATTTTATGTAAAGATAACACTAACCAGAGTTATCACCACATTTGGGAAATTTACCACTTTTGGTCGTAATCTGACCCTCACTTACTTTCGGGCAAGACCAGAAATAAGGCCACAAATACAGAAAACCTGTTCGATTGTAACATTGAGAAAGAACATTCCCGTAGCACTCGTCATGAGCTTGACAACACCTTGAGTACGGATTTATAAAATATGGTGATTTTACAGAATAATTATTCATCTATTTTTTTAAACTAAGAAATTTTAGTCTCGAAGTAATTATTGCTAATTGCCATTGTCAACACTATAAATATATTTCAGTTCGTCTCACTCTTCCATAATGCAGGCTAGATCGACCCTGGGATGATCACTAGGATAAAATTCACAACAATTATTGATGTTTTTTAAATTTCTATCTTGCTTATATACACTGATATATAAATTTATCGAATATTTGATCGCGTACGTATCAATTGGATCCATTGGTATACCGTAACCTCCAAATCCACAATAACAACCATAAGGAACAAAAGGGTAGAGGGTACTTCGAAAAGCACACATAACCATAGTGTTGAAATCGATTACTGAATTCGAGAATTTCAATATTTTAGTAATGCAATTTGAATATTAAAAAATAATTATAGCCATTTCTAGAAAATAAGGCAATATTTTCCTTTAAATAATGATAAATAGTAAATTTTTTTATTAAAATTTTTCTCGTTAAACTGGTCGTTTTTCGCATAATTATAGAAAAAAATTTTTTAAAAATTCCGCGCGATGATCTTTCGCACCATTATTTTTTTGTTACCTACGTAAAAACTAACAGAAATTATGAAAAAACGACTAGTTTGGAAAAAATAAATTCTAAATTAACTTTTTAAAATGGATAATAATAATATTAATAATAATATTAAAAATTGCATTATTACAGTACTATAATAAAAAATTCCGAACAAAATAAGGAAAAAGAAGAGTTGAAACGTATGAAAAGAATTTTACCTGATGAAGAAGAAATAGTTATACCTGAAATTCGAATCTATATTGTTGCTTAAAAATGAAATGAGGAAGAAAGAATTGTTAAAGATGCAATTTTTTTTTAAATTCCATCATTCGTCAAAATAGTACCATTAGTTTCTCGAATCGAGGAATCACTTTGCGATATAACTAATGATGAGTTGCTAGTACCAGTCGGCTTTTTAAATGACAAGTTCAGTCTTCGGAGGAGTAGCAATTTTTGCATCCGAGTTTCGAAATATCATCAACCATCTGACGAAGTCATTTACTATCCTCCAACATAAAATTAATGGTGAAAGAATTGATCACTTACTTATTAAGAGAAGAAATAAAAGTGGAATATAGCGTCCCATTGTTATGAAGAATTTGCTCTGGAATGAGCTTTCTTTTTTAAAAGGTTTTGTACGTGAATTTTAACAGTAATATTCATTTTTTAAAAATATTGTTTGATAATTTTCCTATTTGTCCTTAATAGAAATCATTGTTTGTTATAATAATAATAGATGGTTAGAAAAAAAAATGTATTTTAGAAAATGAGAAAAATAATACAAATTGAATAACATATCACTATTTTGCATTTAATTTAATTTATATTTATTAATTTATATTTACTAAGATTTCGTTCTTCAATGATATATAAAATTATCAGCCTAATAGGCTAACAGACTAGAAATAAAATGGCCTAGGTTGCAACACTGGCAAAGAGCTCTTGTAAATAAACTTGAAAGAAGAAGACGGATAATAAATTTAGAACAATAATAATAATTTTATCAAGGTTTATTTCCAATATTGCTAATTCATTTTTTATTCTTAAATGCTAATATAGCTAATGTTCTTAAATGCTTTCGCAGAATTATATTAATGACTACACATTTTAAATATTATTTCAAATTTTCTGAAATACAATAAATTTAAAAAAAATTTCTTGATTTTGTTTTAATAGCTTTTTTATGACCTATAAATTAAATTTGCTGACTTGAGCCCTGTCAACTTGTTCTCCTTGCACTTGTTCTCCTCTTCTCTTAGCACTAATGGTTAATATGATCGCATTCACTTTTTATCATAAGAGAGAACCAAATTACACGGAGAATGCATAAATTTATTCTATTAGAAAGTTCTGCTCATCATTTTATTTCCGTTCTAATTTTACGGCTACAGCCTTAAGCAATGGAAAAAAGAGTGGCTTTCTTCAAATATGGCATCGTATGAACGGCTTGAAAGCCTTTCATCCTTATAATCAACACAGCAGCTATTTTTACCACTAATAGTAGTATGTCATCGTAAATTTGATTGATTTTTTTGATTTTTCTAAAATTTTAAGGTTAATTTAATAGGCATTATGTCATTTAAAAAAATAACCTTGAACAACATTTTCTAGCAAAAAATTCGCTGGAAAAAATTTAAGCCAAAGGCGTTTCCACTCGGATAATATGATTGGACATGGGAATAGGATTGCTTAGTGGGTTGTTGCTCAATTCACAGCGTCGATACTAAGGTCCTCTAAGAACAAACCTGTCCAAAAATCCGGATAATGCTGGCGACTCATCTATATTTCTATCGCCAAGAGACTAAAGGGACTCCCTGGCATATTGCCCAATGCGACAAGCCAGTGGAGCAAGTGCAACAGTAATGGTGAGAACTCTTTAAAAAAATAACCACCTATTTATCAAAAATATTAATTAATTAAATTAAAAATTTGATGCAAAATAATATATCTGAAACGTTATTATTCACTGAATTCTAATAGTAATTTCAATAATTTTAATAATAATAATTTTAATAATAATAAAAATAGTAATAAATACTAAAAATTTCCATATAAGTAATTTCAATGAAATTTTTTTTTGAAAAAAAATCTCGATAGTGATGATTGATTTTATCGAGATAACATATAAATATTTTCTTTCTACATATAATCAAATATTTGATTATGAAAACGCGACAAAGCTTTTCAATATCAAATAGCTATTTCGGTATAGCTATTTAATAAATGGATGAATTTTTTGAAAATTACAAAAATAAGCGATTTTAATTTCATATTAGTATTACAAGCTAATCATTATAAAACTCGCGAAACTTATCACAAAAACGATAAAAATGCGCTCAAAATCTGATAAAATTCCCATATAAAAAAAAAAAAAAAAACTCTAAAACTCTGAAAAGCTGAACTCTGAATAGAAAAATATTTTCTTGATATGTTGCCCAAGTACGAATGTTACACGATTGGTTCAATTTTGTTTCGTACAACTAAAACGAAGAAAAATTCTAGGATTGATTAATTAATAATTTTTCCTGTTCATTTTTTTCTAGTATAGATTTATCAATTTTATCAATTTATCAATTGTAATATTTGACTTTCGCTGAAAGATTTATCTTAATACGTAAATTATTAGAAATAATTTAAATATTTATTGCCATACTGAAAAACTCTGAAAATTATGGTATAATACGATTATCTTCTATTCTAACTTTAGCTTTAAATTAGCCTAATTTATCTAATTTCTCTAACAATTCATTTGTTTTGCTTATGAATTAGCCTAAAATTAGTCGAAAAATTAGCCCTAAAAAATTGACCAACAGCTTTTTCTCTCTTTATTTCTTTTAGTTCCAATTGCTCATATAGCATTGAACCAAATATCATCCGTGCTTGTGCAATATGCCAAAGAAATTCTATTCTTTTATGTAACAGTAAAAAAAAAAACTAAAAAACTTATTATAGTTCAAATTAATTTTAGTGCATATTATTTATATTATATTATATTTAGTTATATTATTTTCAATTTATTTGCTTAATTATAAAATTTTTTTGAAATTTTCGCTGAGAAAATAAAGAAAAATTAGTTAATTAAATATAAGCAATTATGATAATTTTATGCTAAAATTCGTAAGTTAAGCAAAAATTATTAATTAATTAGTTATCAGTTTTATTATTAACTAACAGTTTTATTAATTTCATTGCTAAATGATGATAAAAAGTCAACTAAGTCAAAAATTCAACAGCTTTTTTCTCGCTTCACTTGATTTCTCTTGGTTTCAGCTGTGGTTGTCACCACAGCATGGAGCCAAGAACCATTCATACTCGTGCAGAATGTTTAAAAAATTTATTTCTTTTAACGATAACGATATTTCATTTATGGCGAAGCGCAATAAACATTGAAATATTTTTAAATTTATTAATGTATTTCAAAAAAATTATTAAATATGGTCTGGTCAGTTTATAAAATTCACATAAATTTGACAAAATTCGACAAATAAAAATGCAAATATGTTTTTTTTTATTGATTCCTCAGGATATTTATATACATTCGTATCTATGGAAAAGAACCTTTTTCTTAGTATCCTCATAGAGGTAAAAAGGATATTTTTTAACGCTATAGCTTCTAATTTTTTGGCTCAAAGAACAATGCAGAATTTTTTTCCTCTTATATTAAAGTTTTTCTTCCTTTCTTTCTTTTTTTCCGTGATAATTTTCATATTTATTTAGCAGCAACTTTGTTTGCGCGCAACAATACATTCCATTGTGCAATACTGATTATTAATCTGAAAAAAAAATTTGGTAACAAATAATTCATCAATTATATTGAAAGAAAATTTGATGGGAAGTGGACCAACAAAAAAAATTTGGGTTTTTTCATGCAATTTCTTACCGAGGCGAATTTTTCTCGGCAAAGACATCCTTCAAATGCTACGAACTATTTATTTCGAGCATTTATTCGATTTGAAAGAATAAATATTCCATTTGGTTCCTCACTTAACAAAAAGTAAAATAATTTTCAAAAAAAGAGGTCATGAAAAAATAAATTATCAAGAATTAACGAATTTTACCCATTAAGTGCGTGGCCCAAAATCCATATAATAGTATATGAAATAAAAATTATCCATTTGCCACTAAAAAATGGCGATATAAATTCACTATATATGAAAATGACGACGTAAAGAAAAGTGCTAATGCATGTCTGAAATCATTTCAAATAAAAATTAAGGAAAAGAATTTGGAAAAGAAATGGAAATAGCAAAAATATAACATAAAAATTATAACATAAATATAATATAGAAATTATATTCGATTTTTTTAAATTGTTAATTTATTTAATTTTATAAATTTAAATTTAATTTAGAAAATTTAATTATTTTATATAATTATTTTATCTCACTTGAGAAAAATAAATTATTTCTGATCGTAAGTGTGCGGTATTGCGGCATTTTGAATTATTCCTTTTAATTCTCTGAAAATTTATAAATTTCACATTTTTCAACTTGGGAAAGAAAAAATTTAAACAAAAATTCAAATAATATTTATCAGCGCATTAAGGATTAAAGAAGTCCAATACCATACTTTGTTAGGCTTTGCTAAATCAAGAAATCAAGAAATGATTCCCACGATTTTCACCTAAAGTAATTTATACAAAAATAAATATTAAAACAAAAATATTTGAAAGAACCTTTCTTCGTAGAAGAAGCAAGCGAAACACAGCAATATCGATAAGAGCAATAATGACGAATATAAAAATATCAAAATAGACTGCATATGAAGAAAAAATTTTCATGCATTT